CGGCTGAGGGACGCCGCGAGAGGGGGGGGTTACTGCCCCGACGTGGCAGCTGTTTGTGGGGTGTCGCGGCCGTGCGGAGTGGGGCGAGCAATGCGCGGCGCAGTCGGGCGAGCATTTTCGAGCGGCATGGGCGAGTCGGGGGGCGTTCAGTCAAGCTGCTTCATGCGCAAACGGCTCCGTGCTGAAGACCGGACACTAAGCTCAAGGCCTGCCCAGCACCGACCCCGTGTGTGACGCCGACTTTGCTGCACACGAGTCAAGCCATTCAACTTCCGGCCGCCCGCCTGCCGCGCCCTGGCCCCCAGGTCCTGAAGCTGGAGGGCACCTTCTCTTTCGCGCCGCCCGAGTACGTGCGGATTTGGAAGGGGTTCCAGCGGTCGCAGCTCGTGGAGGCCACCAGCTTCAAGGTGCGGCGCGCGCCGACGCCAATTTCTGCACACGTCTGCACCCGTGTTTGCGCGCTTGCGCGCCTGTGGGGGTGGTGTGGCTGAGAGGCAGTGCTGTCAGCAGCGCCGGTTTCGAGTGTCTTTGGGCTTGTGAGGGCCCGGCATCGGGATGCAGGCTTTCTATGGACAGGACGTGCCCGCCTCAAGCGCTTGCGCCCTCTTTTTCGCGCTCTCGGCCCGGCCCGCCCACGCCACACTCGGCAAACCCGTCACCCGACCCCTCACACCCTTCTCATAACAAACCGCGCGCATCCCTCCAACACACACACACACACACACACACACACACACACGCGCGCGTGCACGCGTGCAGCTCGACTCTTGGAGCTCTGGCGCGCTCGCGTACGACGTGCTGTGCGGCCGCGCGCCCTTTGCCACGCGCGAGGGCATAGAGCGTGACGAGGAGGCGGACAACATCCTGTCAAAGGACCCCGAGTTCCCAAACGGCCTCAGCTACAACGCGGTCAGCTTCATGATGCAGGTATGTGTCGGAGGAGGGGGCTGATTGATCACTAGGGGGCGTGGCGGTCGCGTTTCGAGGTCAGGTTGAGGGTTTGAGGGGCTATACTCCTCGGCCTCCACGGGCGGGGCTCCCGCTGTTTCTTTGGGGTGAGCCAGGTGCGCGCTTGGGGAAGTAGGAGGGTCGAGGTGGGGTCAAGGCGCCAGGGCTGGCTGCATCATGGATGGGCGGTGCCGGCTGGTGCAGGATATCTTGGGGAAGGAGATAGTGATTTAAAGGGGCGATCCCCGCAATGCGCAGTGGCACACCGAAGGGCGCATTTGCTGTGATCCGCGTACTCAACCTGTCTCGATCCCGTGTGCGTGCTCGACCGCCCGCAGGCGCTGGAGAAGTGCCCGCAGAAGCGCCCCTCGGTGCGGCAGCTGCTCGCGCACGCGTGGTTCGACAAGCCGCAGGCCGCGCCGGCGGCGTCCGGGCCCAAGCGGCGGTCTCGGTCGTCGTCAAGCGTCGGCTCCGCCGCCGGCAGCGCCGTCGCGGCCGGCAGCGGAGCGCCTGCTTGACGGCAGCCGCTCGCAGCAGCAGCTGCGGCGGCGGCGGCGGCGGCGGCGGCGGCGGCGGCGCGCTGGGGGCTTGCAGCCCCGCCACTGCCGCGGGTGCGTGAGAGCATCGGGGCGATGGGATGAGTCGGCACGCCAGCCCTTTACATAACCTGCACCAATTCCTACAAGTTCTCCAATGTTGCGTTTGCCGCTTTAAGTGATGCTGGGGGGAGGCTCTTCATATTGTGGCCTTGGCATCAAAGTTTCACACCCCAAGGCAGCGCCAGGCCGCCTGCAGCACACCCAGCAACTTCACATGGCGTGCCCTGCCACCCTGCATTTGCCCCACATGTGACATAAATTTACATCATTGGCTGCATGCCACTCGGCACCGCTGATGGCGATCGCGGCTCCGCTTGTGCCGCACCGTTTGCGGCTGTGCTCGCGGAGGCCCCCGTTTCTTGTTCTTGGCCGCCAGCTGACTGTCTGATGAGCTCTCACATGCCTGTTATGGGAGTTGAGGCCCATGCTTTGTTTTGCTGGGCCGCTGGAGGTCACACATGGCAGTTGTTGCTGGCCGCCGACTGTTGACCGCTGTGAGGTGTGCCATTGTTGGGAGTCACCAGGCCGGTGAATGCAGGACGCGCACAAGTACGAAATCAGGCAGTCCAGCATAGACTCACAAGCTGTGGGGATTAAGGGAGCGTTCTCTGCCGGACGAGGGCGGCAGCTGCCCTTCGCGATACAGCAGGATGGCCACTTGCAAGGGGTGGGGCTGTTAAGGGGGCTGTTGCGCTCACACACTTGAAAAGCAAAGAGTTGGGATGCCCGGAGCCACCCAGGAGGGCGCTTGGCCAACCCCAATGCCAAGCCCAGGTCTTGATGACAATTATATACTGTTTTCACGCAGCTTGCCAGTCAAACAGTCGGTCTCAGCGTCATCAGTCTGCGGCCACTCAACGGGGCCCACGGGGCCGTAGACGCATCTAGAACATATTGTAATAAAATTCGAGCTGCTTTCATCAACTTTGTTGATCTGTTGCAGGCACAGCGCTCGAACTGCCCACCTCGGGCTTCGATCGCCCTTACAGTGGGGTAATTGGCGTAAAATAGTGTTGTAAGCGGCAGGATGTCGCGCACGGAGCAGGAGGAGAAGCTAGAGGTAATCTTCAGCGGCCTGGAGAGCGCGTTCAAGAAGATAGACAAGATAAAGGACGATGTCAAGCGGCAGGCAGCGCTGAAAGACATCACTTCAAAGCTGCGCGATGCAAAGGCGTGAGTTCTGCGGCCGGGTGGGACGCACGCTGCCCCAGCATGCAACACTGCCACTGCTGCTGCTGCCGCACCCGCGAACTGCCACACCCGCACGCACCATCACCTCACACGCTATACCCGCGACCTTCCACACCGACCCCAGCCTTATCAAGGAGTTCGAAAGGGAGGCCCGCACAGACGGCATGCCTGCGCGCGAGCTGGCAGACCGCAAGCGCACCTTGGTGAATGAGCTCAACTCATACATCGCCCTCAAGAAAAACTACAGCGGGACAGAGGACGCGCGCGGGGAGCTGCTGGCGGGCGTGGCGGCGCAGGGGGAGGGGGGCGGCGCAGGCGTGGAGAAGACGAACCCTTACGATGGTGCGTGTCTCGACAAAATAGGAGGGCAGGGCGGAGTGCAGTATGACGGCATGCAAGTCGGCCGCTTGAAGCATTCACTCGGAGATGCTGACATCAAAGCAGAGTTAGGGACAGAAGGATGCGGCTGCAAGGAACGCGCAGCACAGGTAGAGCCGAGGCACAGGTAGAGCCGAGGCCAGCTGGCGGCCTGTCGCAGAGCGGCGCAAGCCCACGCCTCAGACGGGGGATGCGGCTGCACAATTGACAGTGACGCAGGGTGCTGGGTTGCAACAGTGTCCGCTTACCAGGCCGGCTTCCATTCAAGCCTCACCAGCTGTGCACACACACGTGCGTGCGTGCGTGTGCGTGCGCGTGTGACACACACACTCTCTTGCGCTCCCTGTCTTGCCTTCTCTCATGCACGCGCGTGCACACACACATGTACACACACACACACACATACACTCACACGCATACACTCAAAAACACATACACGCACAGGCCTGACCATGCAAGAGCTGGTGAAGGAGGGGCGCAAGGGCATGCAGGAGACTGAGGCCACGCTGAACCGCACAGAGAAGCTGGTGGAGGACACCCTGCAGATTGGGGCGCAGGTGGGGTGCCATGACACGTGTGTTCGTTCGCGGCAGGGATGCCGTTTGGGTATGGCGGGTGAGGGTGCAGCCCGCTGGTCGTGTACAACAAGCAGGCTGCCTATTGGTTGCAGGTGTCACGTGCGGCAACGCGTGCACCCACACGTCACTGTCGCTCACAGCCTGCCAGACCCGTCCCCAGCCCCAACTCAACCGATCTACCCCCCTGCCCGGCC